ATTTGTCTATGATAATGTCTCTGATCATTGTTTATGTAACTTAGTTAAATCCTGCAAGACAGCTTGCAGGTAGTCTTCATAGTCTCAGACTGCACAAGACTATAATGAATAATAATAATAATAATAATAATAATAATAATAATAATAATAATAATGATCAATACTCTATTCATTTTCATTAAAATGTCTTTAAGTTCTATAATAAATCTCAAGAAAGAGACTTTTTCTGTTGTAAACTTACATTTAGATTTTTTAACAAACAGTACTGCATGCTTCAAACACTCTAATATTATATGTGTGTGTGTTCTATGTTTCTTCATGCTATTTAAATATATAAGAATGTCATTCAAATAGACTACACAACATACATCTAGTAAATCTGCAAGAGCTTCATTTATGTATGCTTAAAAAGTGATAGATATATTAATAAGATCAAAGAGCATTATTCTGTATTTATAATGATCATAACAGATGCAGAATGCAGTTTTTCATCTATCAATTTTGTGTATTAAGATATAATGATAAGCATTTCTGAAATTAAGCTTTATGTAGATCTTAGCATCAGATAATCTGTCTAATATTTCACTAATTAATGATAATGAATATTTATTCTTTAGTGTAATGCAGTTAAGATCTCTATAGTCTACACATAGTCTGAGATTTTCATTCTTTTTTAATGCAAAAAGTATAAATGTCTCAGCTGAACTTTTTAAGAGTTAAATTCATTTCTTCTTCAGTGCATTAGTTATGTATTTTCAAAATACTGCAAGCTCTGTTTCTGACAGATTATAGATTGACATGAATGATGATTTTTTTCTCTTCTTTAGATCTATAATATGTTCAGCATTTAATGATCTGAATGAATTGACAGCATTTTCTTTGAAGAACATGTGCACATATGATGTAATATAGTCAGACAAAACTGACACAGAGTTCATAATGTTTGCATTATTGATTACAATAGTAGCATTATTCTTAACAGCATCTTATGCAGATAGCAAAACATAGTCAGTAAGTTCTGATGTGGAATTCACAATATTACTACTATTAAATGTGCTGATTTCTTGACTGTTATTTCTGATGAGGATTTTATTAATCAAGATCATATAAGTTTAAGTCTCTGTAATAACTTCTGTCATAGCTTTTTTGATCAAGATAATCTCTGATTCTTGAAGATTTTCAGAAATGTTTTATCAGTATATTCAGTTGTTCTTCTGTCAATTGATCATTAAATTAATTTCTTTGAGTCAAGAGTAGTCTAGAATCATATTATAATCAGTTAGATCAATACTTTTAAACTCTTGACTCATTAATTGCATAATTTCATTACTGTCAGTTGCACTTACAGTAAGATGATGAGTTTCATAGATGCATATCTTATGTTCATTAATTACTTTAATTAGTTTGAGAGATTTTTCATCATTAATCAGTTCTTTTAACTTAATTCAGTATCAGTCAATGAAGTTTGCTTCTGCTTCTAAGTCTACTAAGATCAGAACTGTTTCTTCTCTCATTATTAATTGAATCTGTACTGTGATCAGAAAAGACATGAGACTTCATCACTTTTTGCATAAATTTAGAATCATTACAGTGTTAATAAACTTTTTTACTTATTTTTTGACATAGTATTCATCAGTTTCTGTTTTTTTAGAATTAAGTAATCTTTCATTGCATGCTCTTTTCACTTATGAAAAGTACAATATGATAACAATTCATTGTAAAACTTACATTTTCTACTGCTTTTGTTCACTGAGAAGTTATCAAACTCTGAGTCTTGATCTATTTTATTGTTTCATAACTTACTCTTTTTTTTCTCTTTATAGTAGAATTTTCTACTATCTTTCTGATAAGAGAAGAATGAAGAAAATGTTTTGAAATTTAATTTCTTATGTTTTTCTGAAATGTTTCTCTCTGCAGTGGTAAGTCTTTATATCAATGTGTTATAGTTAAGTGCATCAAAATTATCTGCATATTTGTTATATTTCACATGTACTTCACTGAGCATCTTTAAATATAGATGTAACTTTCTTTAATATTCATCATATTTATGTTTCAGTCTGCATTTCAGAATTTTCAATTACATGACAAAGTCATGCATCTTTTAATTTTCTTTCTGCATTAGTGTCAAGTATTCACATTCTGCATCTCTGAGAGCATGTTCTGAATCCACAATTTAATGTTTGAATTATGCTTTTAAGTCTTTTCATGAGGTTCTTTTCTCAGAGTCTTCAAAGTTATGTGACCACTTGATCAATAGCTTTGGTTCAAAGTGTTGAATGGCTTCCAACACCTTGTGTTTATCATTGTTCTTGAAGTATCTCTCTTGATAGAGATGAAAGGCTTCAGAGACAGTGATAAACTCTTCTAAATTCTTGAGATTCTGAGCAATGAATCTTTTATTCATTTTTTAAATTAAAGTATGCAGAGAACTTATATTTTTTGTACTACTGATGTCAAAAGAGTTCTTCATTTACACTTCTTACATCATCACTCATATATTTATTGCATCAATGACATTCTCTGTGATTGATTCTGAAGAAATTGATCATGTTCTGAGTGTTAAATTGAAGAAAGATATTTTCTCTGATGAAGAATTATTATTAATGAGATTTTTCAATCTCTGAATTTCTTATTTTTTCTTAATGAGATTGAGCTTTGTCTTAAGCTTCATGATGATTTGATCTGCATCATAAAAAAGATTCTGAACTGTAATGTTCTTTTATTTTGAAATAACAGCTTCTAATGTCTATTTTCTTAAAGTTGCTCTCTCTGAAGTGTCAATGTTTATTGACTCATTTAAAGTGTTAATTAAATGTTCAATTTATGCTAATAACACTTCTTGATTATTTATTGAAGAAGTTTCAGCTATAGCTTCTGAAACTATAGTCTGACTCATCTGTTCTTCTTAAAAGACAGTGATAGAGACTTCAATCCATGAATTATTGTTAGAATTTATATTCTGTTATCTCTTTCTAATTTCACTTCTGATTTCAGTCATAGTATTTAAATGTATCTAACAGCATGGAATTGTGTTTGTTGTTGTGTAAAATGCATCAGTAATGAAAAGATAGAATAGAAAGAAATTTTCTAACAGAGTAGCTTAATGAATCATCTCACATTTTAGTAATGAGAACTGTAGAGTGACAGTCTATAAGATAGATGCTAAAGAATAATGTATCAAATCTACAGTGTAAGAAAGATAACTAAGTTGCACTTATAGTATCAAAGCAGTATTGTACAGCATACCAGAATGGCCACATGACATCTATGGGAATTAGACTTTAGAGTTTTGGCAGAATAATTTTCTGCCAGTGCTTATTAATTCATAAGTAGTTAACTAGTGTTGAGCAGGAGTCAGATGACTTGTCAGATGATCAGATCTCTGAATGAGAAATCAAAGAACTGTAGATTTGCCATCTTCTCTTCTTGATCAAGATACTGATTTCATTATCTTTGTCTATCAGACTGATGAAGATTTGCTAGGGGTTTTTCATATGTTTTTTCTGTAGCCTCAGTTATAGTATGTTTGTCTATAAGTATCTGTGTCTTGTTTGTTAGGAACAGACTAGATGCAATATCATAGATGCTCAGTCACATGATCATCATGTGCTTCTGTGTCATCTGATAACTAGTGAATAGTCAGCTCTCTTAGTCATCACTTGAAGTTTCTCACAGCTGTTTCAGTCTTTGACATCAAACAGTTTCAAACATTTGATACTGTAGCTGATGCTTGTCTGTGTTGCGAAAGTCTGTAAAATACTGTCTTGCCTGAGATCAAGCAGTATACTAGAGAATTCTTCTAAACTTGTGTTGTCTATTCTGCTGTATGATGTATATGATCAGTCTTTGGCATCAAATGGTTCCAAACATTTAATACCATAGCTGATGCTTGTCTGTGTTGCTGAAGTCTGTAAAATACTGTCTTGTCTGAGATTGAGCAGTATCTAGAGAGTTCTTTCAAATTTATGTTGTCTATTCTGCTGTATGATGTATATGGTCAGTCTTTGACATCAAACAGATCCAAACATTTGATATCAGAGCTGATGCTTGTCTGTGTTGCTGAAGTCTGTAAAATACTGTCTTGTCCAAGATTGAGCAGTATCTAGAGAGTTCTTTCAAACTTATGTTGTCTATTCTGCTGTATGATGTATACAGTCAGTCTTTGACATCAAACAGTTCCAAACATTTGATATCAGAGCTGATGCTTGTCTGTGTTGCTGAAGTCTGTAAAATACTGTCTTGTCTGAGAGTGAGCAGTATCTAGAGGGTTCTTTCAAACTTATGTTGTCTATTCTGCTGTATGATGTATACAGTCAGTCTTTGGCATCAAACAGTTCCAAACATTTGATACCAGAGCTGATGCTTGCCTGTGTTGCCAAAGTCTGTAAAATACTGCCTTGTCTGAGATCAAGCAGTATACTAGAGGGTTCTATCAAAAGAGATTCATACAGTCACTCTTTCATTGAGAATCATATTACTTCTCTCAGTGAAAGTATTTATACTCCCTTGACTTTCTCATTCTTTCAATCATTCAACTCTTTTGTCCAACAGAATACTGTAAGTGCTCATGATATTAATCTTTCAGTGGTGACCATGGTCAAGATATTCATACTGATCCCATCAAATAGATTCTACATAGAATGTGCTTGGCACTAATACTGTACCTACAATCTTAGTAGCTACCATTTTCTACCAATAAACAACAATTGTGTATGTCAGTCAGTGCTTCCCCCAACCATGATTGAGAGATCTGCTAATCTAGATCACTAGCTACAATTTTCATCAATCAAGAATGTTTTTTGTGTGTGCTAGCCAGTGCTTCCCCCAACCATGGTTGAGAGACCCACTAATCTAGACCACTAGCTACAGTTTTCATCAATCAAGAACATTCTTTGTGTGTGCTAGCCAGTGCTTTCCCTGACCATGATTGAGAGACCCACTAACCTAGACTCCAGAAATTACTTTTTATTAACAATAAGTGTCAAGACTTTTTGTGTATGTTAGTCAGTGCTTCTCCTGATCATGGTTGAGAGATCTGCTAGCTAACTCAGACCACTAGAATAACATGTCTCTTCAATTTTCTGATGTCTATGTCAAAGCAAAGAACTTCCAGAATTTCTTGGTTCTTCTTGCTGAATATCTTGAATTCACTTGCACCAAGAAACTGCAAGAATTTCTCATGCAGAAATTGATGGCTTCAATTTTGAGTCCTTTCAAAACTTTGCATGCTAAGTCTTTTGGATTGAAGGGAGTCAATAATGAAAAGAAGAAGACTGCATGTATTAATGCAATCATGCACTCATTTCATGAATCAGCTATTTGCACAATATTGGAGAACTATGCTTCTTTAGCTGATGTTCCTCAGAATGAGAAGAATTCTCTCATTGTTTGTTGAATGATGGCAATACATCAACTGATATTGAAGAACACTGACAAATTTTTAAGTAATGATAATGAAGATATTCACTGTGTTTTATATTTGATTAAATATTGGTTGAAAGCTACTAGTGCTGGCTGAGAAGGCAAAACTCAGAAGACATGGAACTCCAAGACCAGAATTTCTGATTATTATACAAACAATGAAGGCACATTTCCATCAATCTTGACCATGGTCAAGACATCTGCAGATGAGCATCTGCAAGAACTTGCTTGCATTTCAATTGATCCAATCATTGAACTGAACATCAACAGTGATGATGAGAATGAAGATGTTGATTCTTCATATATCATTGACACAGAATTTGTCTCTGAAACTCTAGATCTTTCATTCTCATCATTTGATTCACATTTCAGAGCTTCTCTGATTGCTGAATTGATATTAACAGCAGAAGATCATTCATTTCCAGAAATTGATCAGTTTATTACTGATGTTCAAAAGATAATCAGCATCACTGCACAAAACAATTCTGCACATTCTGAAAAAATTACAGGTATAGATTCTGGAATGACACCTAATCAAGATTTTTTGAGTCTCCAGATACAACTTAATAGTGTGGGCATGGTTGTGCCCAATTACACCATCTCTTGTGCAATTTTAGGTCTGGACCCCAATATGTCTCTAGTTGCTGATGTCACTCTGGAACTCTGGCAGGTGACTGGAATCATCTGGATGTTGGAACAGAAGTCATCTCAAATTGAGGATGACATTCTTGAAAATGAATCTGACATGAATAAAACAATTGAATCTCTAGATCTAATATCACTCACCACCAAACTGTTCTCTGACCCATACAAACCAATCCTGATCATGGCTCCTTCCCAGCCTATTGATACTTGGATGAATGAGCTGAAAAAATATTTCAATGGTGATCTATATCTCATCTTGCACTATGATATCAATGGTCTCAGTGGCACTTCTGATTCTTACTGATGCAATCTCATAAAGAATCAGTCCCAGCTCCTCCAGTTCTTCAAAAATTTGAACCCAAGCAACTGGAAAACAGATAAAACTGTCATGCTCACATCTTATTCAATCTGACACAAATGATGGTTTCCTAAGAAAAAGTTGGATGCCAATCATGGTCAAGAAGACACTGATATTGCCAGTGCCAATGCAAATGGGTGGCCTAGTGACTTTGAATTTGAGCATGTTATTTTGGATGAAGGTCATGCCATCAAAATCACATTCACAGCAACACACAAGTCAGTGAAATGTTTATCTATAAGTCACTTTTGAGTTGTAACTGCAACTCCAATGTTAAATCATGCATCAGATATGAGAGAGATTCTTGAGATTCTTTGAAAGTCAGAGCTTTGTGGAGAATTTGATTACTGTCAACAGTCTGCAGATCTTTCCATTTATGCTGATGTCAACATTAACAATAATATGGATCTTCATATACTTGACTCTGAGCTTTTTATGTCAATATGCCACAATGATGCCATTGATTTAAGTGCAGCATTTGTTGTTCTACCACACATTCTTTCAAAAATCCAGCTTCATTGTATCATGGGTTTACAAATGGACCTTAATGATAGTTGTGAAGTGATCACAATTGAAGCACAGATATCTGTATACAGAACAAGAACAATAGACTGTGTCATGAACAATATTCAACTTGCTAAGTACACAAAATTACACTCAACTCTGGTGAGAAACCTCAAATCTGGTAGAGTGTCTGTCAGTGATGTCACTACTGCAGCAACTGCAGAAGAGGTAGGAGACCACTTTGATATGAGTCTCTATTGCCATCTTCACCAGATCTCATTGTGTTCTGAATTGGAACAACTTTTTCAAGCAACAAGTGTTAAGTGTGAAGGAAATCTTGCTACTGATATTGCAACATGATGTTCACATGGTGGGGGTCTTCTATGAATGCTCAGTTGCATGATCAAGAACTGTGAAATTCCATATATCTCACATGAAAGACAATGAATAGCAACATATCTGGTCAACATAATTCCCAAATTCTCTACATTGCTTTCAATAGTGCAAGATGTTGTTCTTCAAAAAAGCAAACATCTTCTGATTTTTACTGCATACTCTATCTGTCAATTCTTAGTTGAGGCTTTTTTGCATGTTTTTTGCTTTGAAGTGGCTTTCTTGTGTGCTGAGATGTCAATGAAGAAGCAATCACAGATCATCACTGAATTCAATGATCCTGATGTAAAAGTCCAAATTCTGATGGTAACTTATTCAACATGCAGTATTGGCCTCAACTTACACAAGCAGTGTTCAGATATTGTGATGATGGAATCAGCAATTTTCTACAATACAACATTTCAAGTCATAGATCACATTCATTGTCTCAGACAAACTGAACTGCAGCACATATGGATATTGTCCAGAGCCAATACATTTAATTGATTTGTTGAGCACAACTCAACCAAAAAAATGGTTGCACAAATTGTTGGGATGGGCTGGACCTTGTTTCAAGATCTTGAACATGTTCAAGATGAAGCACAAGAGGAGGATGACTTAACATCCACAATGAATCAATGGGCATGTGACATACTATCAAAATTATTGGGACAGAAAAATATTCATTTTTCATGGGATAACTCTTCTGATCTTGATGTCAATTCATTGCAATCAAAGCAACTCCATCAATTGACTGCAATCATGCCAGACTCATCTGAGATAAGCAGATCCTGCACATTATTAAGTTTTGATATGCCATCAAAAAAACAAACTCTGTCACATTGCCCATGTGCTGTTAAGAGGATTAAATTGGTCTGATGTCATGCTTTTTTCAATGCACTTCATGCAACTACATCTCTGAATTCTGATGGCAGTGCAGCTGCCAATGTTTCTGATGATTTCATGAATATGGATGAGGATTCAGATTTCTCTCTGTCTGATGCATTGACAGTGGATTTTGATAAGAAGAATATCAATCCAGACAGTGTTGATGATCAAAAGAATCTGAATGGCAAACCAAGCTCTTCAAGTTCTCATTCAAGATATCTGAGAGAAATCAATTGATTTTTATAGTGTACATAGTCTGATTTTTATTGATGATATGGATTGCTACAGAGTAATTATTAAATCAGTACACAGTCTCTCTTGTCCTCATTCTCTTTCTCATCACTAGAGTTGTCATAGTCATCATTTTAATTCTCTTGACATTCAGCTACTTCATCTGTCTCAGCATTGTAGTCTTTGTCATTTTCCTCATCATCCAACAAGGTCTCATTTTCTAAAAGGTTGGCAGTGCTCATTCTGAAGAGTGAAGAACTGGGTGAAATTCAAATAGAATGTTGCATGTCCCCAAGCCAAGATGCACATGGCAGCTGTCATGCTGAAAAGTGAAGAGTAGCAGAGAGAAGAAGAAGCAAAATCAACTGCTCAAAAAATTCTCTTGCATCTCTTTGCTTCTGATGAGGTCAACATTGTCATGAAGTCAGATGTCAGTTGCAGTCCCTCTGCAGATAGTGACACTCCAGCTGCAGTTCAGCTGCCATCACCACACATCTTGACCATGGTCAAGAGCAACACTTCAGCATGATTGAGAGTGACACTTCAGCTGCAGTCCAGCTGCCATCATCACATCTCTTGACCATGGTCAAGAGTGACACTTCAGCTGCAGTACAGCTGCCATCATCACATCTCTTGACCATGATCAAGAGCAACACTTCAGCATGATTGAGAGTGACACTCCAGCTGCAGTTCAGCTGCCATCACCACACATCTTAATCATGGTTGATAGCAACACTTCAGCTGCAGTCCAGCTGCCATCACCACACATCTTGACCATGATTGAGAGTGACACTTCAGCTGCAGTCCAGCTGTCATCACCACATCTCTTGATCATGGTCAAGAGTGACACTCCAGCTGCAGTCCAGCTGCCATCATCACACATCTTGACCATGATTGAGAGTGACACTTCAGCTGCAGTTCAGCTGTCATTATCACACATCTTGACCATGATTGAGAGTGACACTTCAGCTGCAGTTCAGCTGTCATCATCACATCTCTTGACCATGGTCAAGAGTGACACTCCAGCTGCAGTTCAGCTGCCATCACCACATCTCTTGACCATGATTGAGAGTGACACTTCAGCATGATCAAGAGTGACACTCCAGCTGCAGTTCAGCTGTCATCATCACATCTCTTGACCATGATTGAGAGTGACACTCCAGCTGCAGTCCAGCTGACATCTCTGAAGAGCTACAGGTGAAATTGCTCTCTCTGAGTGCTATTACTTTGATACCAGTGTTGCAAATCAGTGTATTAAATCATGATGGGGCCAGCTCACCAAAAATCTGCTGTTCAGATGGT